TTCTGCCCCGCGGAAGCGCAAAGGCTCATCATCCCCGATCTCGCTGGATTCTTGCGTGTCGCCAGTACCCTCCAAACGGTGGCACCGAGACGAAAGCTCGCTAATCGAACCGCCATCTTCGTCTTCGTCCCTCTCGATAAGATAACCATCGTGCAGCTCTTTGACTTGCGAGTAGTGACCAGAATACCACCACATTTTGATCTTTTGCCATGGTCCAAGTGGATATCCATCCAAAAATGGTGGTCGGAGCGACTCGAGCAGCTTGATCCTCTTTTGCGGCATCGAAGAGCGTTGTAGGACGCCCTGGTCGCGGCTCAGCGAGCTGGCTTGCTCAGCATCATCCTCTCCGAGCTGAGAACGCGTCCACATGATGCCTTGTTGTGAAGTGTCTTTGTGAGCCACAAATCGTGCAAGTCCGAATTTCTCGATTCGCCTTCTGAGTAAACCAAAGTTCATCTGGGATTCGATCTGCGCTGTTGTCAAAGTCTTACAATATGATCGCCAAATTGCATTTGGCGCTGGGTTGGACTGGACGTCGGTCAAAGCAGCTTCATCGGGTTGCATGAAGCCAAAGCGCTCCTTGAAGACGAGACCTTCTGTGACCGCGAGCACAGTGGTGTGGTCGAGGTTGCGTGTCCAGCTCCGCATTGCTCTGCCATTCTTGGTTCGACCTTTGAGGCTCGTTGCGATTGGCACTGGAGCAGACGCAGGTTCCACATTTTCCGCATCGATTGTATTTGTGCTGCTAGCCGTTTTTGTCCTGGCAGGAAACAAGTCGAGTTCAACCTCGCTTTCCTCCATCACCCAGCTCTCGGCGTTCTTGATAAGCCCAGAGGGGGCCCATTTGGGTAGATTGCCTCGTTTGAGAATGAGCCGTGTAGTGCACAGAACAGGGATTGTATCAGGCCGTGGTGATCCATTGTTGAGGTCGTCGAGCGTCACAGAGGACGTGCTGGCTGCTGAGGAAGGCCCACGAACAGGACGGTACTCGATTCTGCGGTCAAGGACGTCTACTGAGAGTACATGCGTTGCGTTGGGGTTCGGATATCTAAGGAAGTATGCCCTGACGCATGATGACCAGGAGCGGTCGTAGCTGGATTGGTGGACAAAATCTTTGACCATCGCGAGTTGTGGGTTGCGAGCAGAGTGCTAGAGCGTGGTCCTTTTGTCGTGTTGCTTTCAACTCGCAGTCGTTTTAGGAGTCAGTCGTAAGTCGCCTGGAGAGGATGGTTCCCGTCGATATGTCAGTAGGAAAGGGCCGTAGCGAGCGTCCACAGCCGGGCAACGATGATGACGGGAGCAGGATGCGTCGTCAAGATGCTCGACACAAATGTCAACTTCGATGGTTGGCAATGTGATTGCATCGAATTTCGCAGAATCCTCGAAATGTGGAAGAAAGCTCAAGAAAAAAAATCTACACAGTGCATCGCGAATCTCTTTGTGGAGTCCGCCTTACAATAGAGCCTTTCACTCGGACACGGTTGGATACTCGCAGCCGAAGATCAGCATGACAAGAGCGAGTGGGCCATGGAATAGAATTTAGCTAATGTACAAGGACTGAAGAGACATTTTAAGACAGGAGACAAAGGTGATTGATGATCTGATCAAATGTGGCACGAAACGAGAAGGTAGGTGATTCTGCACAGTAGTGGAGGCCGAAGGGCCAAAGGTTGATGCCTGATGCGAGCAAAGCAGGCAATTTGGTATATATGAGTTAGAGGTTCAATAGCACATTTCATTCGTGAGGTGCGAATGTCCTTGGAGAAGGATGGTGAAAGAAGGGGTCATGCTGGCAAACAAGGCACCAGCAAAAACATCGATGGATAGCGTAGCGAGGTATTCGTCGCTTGTTGCGAAGGGAGATCATGCGATTTGAGCGGAAGCACTTTGCAAGGTGCGATATTATGAGACTTGTTGTCCGGGCTGCGGTATAATCATCATGGTCGCCACCATGGAATGAAGATTGGCGAAAAGCGAGAGTGCTGAGCCAGATTATCATCGCGTTTTCACATTTTCCAGCGCCTCGAGCGAGGTGACGCTATTACCTCGAACCACGACGGTGCCGCAACGATCTCCGTTTTGCCATACATTTGTATTGCCTGCTTCGGGATGCACTTGTTCAATAGCATCGTCCACCACGAGGTTGAGAAACATGTCGAAACCTCGAAGTGTGCCCTGAATCTTGCGTCCACCCTGGATATTGACAGCGATGCGCTTGTCGAGGAAACGTTTGAGCTCCGGCTGGGATACTTTGGCCATTCTGAATGATTTCAAGTATGTCTCAAGCCTCGATGAATGCGGAAGATGGGTAGTGAAGGAAGATGGTGTTGGTGTGGATCTAGTTGGATCGAAGAACCGCGAAACAAGAAAGGGTTCGTTGTTGCTCGGGCCCGATTTAATGAAACCGTCCTTGAAGTTGACGTGTAGGTCTAACAATTTTGCCGTTTTTGGCTGTCAAACCATGATGACGCTGTCGGCACTCTTGGACTGTCCAGCCTTGCTAACGATTCGTTAAGCCTCTGAGAAACATGCACCGGTTTCTTCTTAAGGAACAAGATACAGGAGGCTAGGTTCTTCGCCATGGAAAGCGCTTGGATTCGGGACGGCTGCCGATCGTTTCCCAATGAGCTTGCGGTGAAGCCCTCTGATGACTGACGTTGGCAAAGACGGGTGAAAGGACCATGCGGTCTTGATCCGAAAGTCGCGTGGTCACGAAGCTTTCGGCGCCCAATTCTCTTTCAGGCTGTGTGGCATTTGGACTCAGCCGCATTTGACCATGTGGACTCGTTTTGAAAGCTGAAAACCTGAGCGCTTTATTGAGCATGGTCGCCTTGACCTGCTGTAAATAAAACCGCATAACTGTTGCAATTCACGCAAAGTATTATTATTCACGCCAGCGTCTGATCCGCGTAGCTTTCAGCGGCAGGATTGGCGGGCGCTCAGGCGGTGCAAACAGGCTTCGTATGAATGATTCAGGAAGAATTCGTCACCGGTCAATACAACCATGTTTGGCCACAGACAAAGAATTATCGAAATGCCCATACTCCATCCTATTCGCAGCCCCCACATGTTCGACTCGGGCTGTGCACCGTCAACAGAAGCGGCGTCTTGCTGCGCACCATATGCAATCTATGCATTCCACACTTGGCTTGCCGGGCGTCATGGGCCTATCGAAACGTAACTTTCTACGCCTCTGAGTCTCTGCTGCATATCCTTCAGTACATAGTCTCCGGCATAGCTAATGGATGGCCATAAAATAACATAAGACAGAGCTTCAGGACATTTGTACCCGCTTATTACTCCCATCTCAGAGTCGAGCTTTCAGCCAGACACACACAAACACCATCATTATCTCGATCACTCCGTCATGGATCTTGAAAAAGAGCCACTACAGTCGACATCGCCCGCCGAAAGTATTGTAGACATGCCAAGCAGAGGTGTCTTGAACGAGGACCACCTCCACCTTCGCGTCGGTCAGGACAATGGATCTCACCGCGCCAATGGACGAGCACGCATCTTCTCACGAGGCCTAAAAGGTATCGCCATCCTCCTGGTTGCATTTTTGACGGCCAACGGCTTTTGGGCTCTCTTCCGCCCAGAGCTGTATGGTCACAATGCCCTGTTCCAACTGAGTGGCCACGATGCCCATCACCGACACAAACTCCCTCATCAACATCATGACCATCCTTATCACCGGCCTCCTCCTCCTCATCATGGTCCTCCCGGTCATGGTTGTGACCATCCTCCTCCCCCGCCGCATCCACCACACGGCCCATTTTGTCGCGATCACCCGCCTCCCCCTCCTCCTCATCATGGCCCTCCTGGTCGTGGCCCTGACCATCCTCCTCCCCCGCCGCATCCACCACACGGCCCGCCTGGTCGCGATCACCCGCCTCCCCCTCCTCCTCATCATGGCCCTCCTGGTCGTGGCCCTGACCATCCTCCTCCCCCGCCGCATCCACCACACGGCCCACCTGGTCGCGATCACCCGCCTCCCCCTCCTCCTCATCATGGCCCTCCTGGTCGTGGCCCTGACCATCCTCCTCCCCCGCCGCATCCACCACACGGCCCGCCTGGTCGCGATCACCTGCCTCCCCCTCCTCCTCATCATGGCCCTCCTGGTCGTGGCTCTGAACACCCACCTCCTCCTCCACCTCACCCGCATCCTCATCCTCCTAAGGGGCCCGGCAAGGTCCAGGAGTGCTTCGACCTGCAAGAAGGAGAGACACTCGAATTCGAAGCTCCCCTCGAATGGGCTGGGCAAAGCGTTCAAGTCGCCCCGTCTCTCGCTGGCTCCAGCGTCATCTTCGTTTGGGATGGAGAGGTTGGCCCTCCTGCCCCTCCTCAACATATTCCTCGTCCAGGATCTCCTCCCCCTCCTCCTCACAGAGAATCAACCGAGAGCCAGGAAATTGGAGACAAGGACCAAAAGAAGCCCGAAAAGAAGCCCGGGCATGTCCGATATCGAATTCAGATACCTTCCAAGGCTGAGTGGAAAGATGCCGGCATCGCTTCTCAAGATCTCAAGATTTGCTCGGTCCGTCGTCCAGACGCTACGGGCATCGACCTCTTCAATGCCAGTGGCATCCCCCCCAGCCATGCCCGTATCGATCCAGCGTTCCAGAAGCTCGCTCCGCTCTTCAACACTACTGTTCGTCTTCCTGACAAGTATGCACGTGCGCCTATTCGCGCGGGCAGTCTGCCTTGAACCAAACCTAAGTTATTGCTAGCTACTCGTACCTCTCTCTCTCGCACCATTCCGAATTGCATGTTTTCTTTCTATCGTTTCTGCTCTTGCTGATGTTGTGCGCCTATTGTGGTTTTTGAATGCAGTGCTCGCTGGGGTCAGTGAAACCATTCATCGAAGGAGTGGCATGAATAGCACCCTCGGAATTCACAAGCAGATAGGACAAAATCCCTGATGGTCGATACTAGGACAAAAGTTGCACCTTGAGTAAGAATACATATACGCACGTCTCAGCCGCCTCGGCAGATAGAGCGGTTGCTTCGTCCAGTGGTAGGATACCTCTTTCGGGAATGACCCGGTCTTCAAAAGAGGCTTAAAATAGAGGTGGTCGCGAGTTCGAATCCCGCAGTGACCCTCACTCCCATTTTTACCACTTTTTAACGTTCACACATGCGGAACACGAATCGAAGGGATCTTCAATCTGAATCAAGATCGATCGAGAAACGGCGGAGTTATGCTAGATTCAAATTGTTGATATGGCGGTCTACGGCACTGTACAGTAATTTAAATTTACAGTACAGCAACTGTATTTTGGCATCACACGCAGCCATCGCGACGGTCAACGGGCGGGACGCCGTCCGGTCGTGCTGATGGTGTGGAGGTTTACGCTGCTCTCGAAAGCGGTGGGGAAGACCAACATCACCCCTGATAGCGAGTGTCTGTCGATTCATCATCACATCCTTTCACTAGCACCTTTTCCAAACAGCGCCAGCTAGTGCGACCCTTGAACCTATCAATTTTTTTACTGCTTCAGTCAACATGAACGCTTTTCCGATGATGCGCTTAGTACCACAAGCATGCCGGGTAAGTATGACGAAGTGCTATGAAGCGCATTGCATATGGTTATAGCTTGCTCGCTGACCACTTTTTCTTTTCCCCTTTTCCTCTCCTCACTTTACGCTCTTTCACTGGTAGGCTGCATCCACGGCTGAAGCAAGACTTGGTCTTAGCATGGCCCGCATGCCTCAACAGATCCGCACCTACTATGGCAAACGCATTGACCCACGAACCCGCTTCTTCGACACCGCCTCTCGCGCCGCTCGACCTCGTATTGTAGCTGCCTCTGCCTCTTCATCATCCTCTGGCTCTACCGCGCACATGGGGTTGATGCTCGCAGGTGGATCTTTCATCGCTGCAGCCGGCCTATCTGCTTTCACTTCAGCTTCGGTTCAATGCGAATCAGCCCGACCCTATGCCAACCCCTCAGCCTCCACCGCCCCAGTCTCAGTCTCCACCAAAGACAACAACACCACCACCATTTCCACCGAACCTCAAAGCATCATCAACGTCTATCAGCTCTCCTTTGGCACCATCTGCGGTGTGTGTGCAGGAGTCTTTATCAAAAAAGGTTTGAAACTTATCGCTTTCCTCCTCGGTGGATGCTACATCTTATTGCAGTACCTGAACAGTCAGAAGCTGGTCCAGGTGAATTGGTCCGCGATCAACTCGAAATATGATAAGCTCGTGGGAAGCGCAGCAGGTCCAGAAACAGCAAGCAATGTGAGAGGATACAGTGGTAGCACCCTGCAGAGGATCTGGAACAGAACCACCAACTTCCTCATGGCTGACTTCCAGCCCAGGGCTACCTTCATGGCCGGTCTCGTACTCGGTCTTCGTCTCGGATGAGCTGAATTGGCCCGCCTGAAGACAAAGTTTGATGTATCTTGTTTTCCTCAATCACCAATCGAACGAATCACAAGTTTCATACAGTCTCTCTTCCTTGTTCAAGTCATGCATGGAGCGTAATTAATCGTGTAAAAACTTGTGAGACCGAACGGCGGTGTGCCGACCGGACAATGACACCAGCGACGAGATCAGAGCACGAATAAGACATGTCAAGCTCGAAGTAGACAAGGGCAGCAGGCGGATTGTAGCATGAGCTGCTGATTCCAGAAACCTGGATCGCGGCCCTACGTCTGGCGGCGAGTTGAGCGGGCATGTCAGTATTTCGCGTGCGAATAAAAATGCTTGGTTGGAAGAGAAAAAAGAAAAGTGGGGTTATGAAAAAGAAAGACACACTCCGCATTTTCAGAATTCTTCTCAACCAACCAGAAAATGTCGAGAGACGACAATCTTTCCCACCTTTGAACCCTTGCCATCACCCAACTGCACCATCTCCCTCCAGCTAGTCAAGCACCCCTGTAGGCTATCAATATGTCGGCTCAAGAGCTCATCATCCCCTCACCGGCGGATTTCCACGTTCATCTGCGGCAAGGCAAGATGTCGGAACTTGTCACACCGCACGTCGCTGAAGGTGGTGTTCGTCTCGCATACGTCATGCCCAATCTCGTCCCCCCTATCACCTCAGCTCAACAAGCGATCGAATACATCGACTGCCTCAAAGCGCTGGCACCTGAAACCAAGTTTATCGGAACGCTTTACCTTTCTCCGGCGCTCACTCCTGCCGAGATCGCCAAAGCCGCCCAATCCAGCGTTCGTGGAGTCAAATCATACCCTCGCGGAGTCACCACCAACTCAGACTCTGGCATCGAAGACTACGAAACGTACTATCCCATCTTTGAGGAAATGCAGAAACACAACATGGTCCTAAACCTCCACGGAGAGGTGCCAAGCAACGCCGATGCGGGTATCTGTGTCTTGAATGCGGAAGAAAAGTTCTTGACGCATCTGTTCAAGATCCACAAACAGTTCCCTAAGCTCAAGATTGTGTTGGAACATGCGACGACCAGAAAGGCCGTGGAAGCGGTCAAGGAGTGTGGAGAGACAGTGGGATGCACGATCACGCCGCATCATCTGGAGCTGATTGTGGATGATTGGGCCGGAAAGCCGCTCAACTTTTGCAAGCCTGTGGCCAAGTATCCTGATGACAGGCAGGCATTGCGGGACGTCATCCGAGAAGGTGGGTAGACCGTAGACCACAGATCCGATCGTGACTGGAATGTGAGACTGACTTCGACTTCCCTTCTCACTTTTTTCCTTATGCTTTTGCTTTTTCAACATCCTTGTCAAACGTTTCGTTCGCAACAGGTCATCCTCGATTCTTCCTCGGCTCAGACTCAGCTCCTCATCCTCTCGCCAACAAGTACCCATCCGCAGTGACCCACGGTGCACCTGGAATTAAGGCCTCGTCCACTGGATCCGATGACCTAGAACCTACCGGAGTCGTCTCCTGCGGTTGTGCCGCTGGTGTCTACACATCCTCCGTCCTCGTGCCCCTTTGCGCGACCCTCTTGGAAGGATTTGGTGCGCTTGACCAGCTTGCCAACTATGTCAGCCTTAATGGAAGGAAATTCTACGGCTACGACGATGAAGCCGAAATGTCCCAGGGTAGCGTCAAGATTCGTAGGACGGATGACAAGTCGGCGACGGTCCCTGCGGTATACGTACACCCCCAGTACAAGGACGTTTCTGATTCGGACGCAGGCAAGGTTCAAGTGGTACCGTTCTTGGCTGGCAAGAGATTGGGCTGGGAGATTGTACAAGCCTGATCGACGCTCGAATATCAGACGATTCGGACATACGTGCCTGTTTCTTGAACCCCACAAACAGTAGTGAAGGCCAGCTTACCACGTCTGCATCTGCGAACGATCATTGTGCCTGCGTGCGTGTGTGTGGTTGGAAAGCTTTCAGGTAGAACGCGGAAATCGCCAGCAAATGCTGTCATCAGAGTTGAGCGATGTTGGCCTTATTGTTATCAGAAAAGGAATTCACGGCGGTGATGGTTCCTTTTCGACGCTCGTTTAGACTTTTGTTCGACCTGCGAGGAAATGACCGAGTGAATCAAAGTGGATTGCCTTGCCAAGAAAAGTGCAAGGATGAAAGACCTCATTTATCGGTTGTGTGACTTCGGGTGAGGGTGCTCCAGGCATATAAAAATATGCGCCGCCCCACTGTACGGCGGATTAATTTACGACCTGCGTCAAATAATGAATTGGTACCACGCAGGATGCAGGCAGGCGCAAACGATGGGCCGTAGAGAAATACCACATCATAGTCTTTTGGCGGTTCTCGTCGGACTTCACTTATTGAGCCTGATGCATGATCAGCTTATCCGGCGATAGTGATTCGAAGGTGAGATGTCGAGAGGTCCGGCTGTTTTGCGATGGTAATGATGGTGATAGACTCAAAGCAAAGAATATACTGTGGTAGTGCTAACACGATGACACGTGGAGAGGTATCAGCGGAAATGTCTTCACATGGTAGGAGGTTCGAAATCAAGCGACGAGATCGATACTGATGGAGCTTGTTGCTCGCCTCATCCTCAATGCTTGAATCAGGACGGCTGATCCGTGCCAGTCAGTCTTCTATTGTGTAGCGATCCCGACGGTACCCACTCACTCGCCTTGTGCATGCGCCGGGACGATTTCAGTATTTTCTCGACTGTGGAACACATCCGAACTAATCGCACTTGCTTTTCCTCAAAGATCACGTTTAGGAACGCCAGAATGCCAAGATTTTAAAGCTTAAACCTCCTGCATCAAGTCCCACCATTCAACTAAGAGTTTGCTGTAACTTCGAGGTGAGATAGTGACACACACTTTTGCTCGCGCTGAGGAGAGATCAGATTGGCCCAAACGCAACAAATTGCCGCAAGTTGCTCAGCAGTCCCCGCAAACAGGCAGGTGCAATTGTATGGTGGTGTGATGAGCAGAGATGCAGCAGCGACCCCGATTGCAATTTTGTAATGCTGAACAGCATCAGATTACAGTAGAAAGCCGGGCGATTTCCGATATACGATATACAGGAATTAGCTACAAAGCCTGATGTGAAGTGTGGCTTGATGCCGCTCGACTCCCAAACCATTAGTCTCTGCTGATCTGGCTGAGGCGCGAGTACAAGCAAGCTCGAAATCGATGTCAAGTCACGCCGTAGAGTTTTTCAACGTGGGGTTTGTTGTTCTTTGAGCTTTTGGGGTCAAAAAAAAAAAATTGACCGGTGGAAAGGAGGCTTTGTTTGACTATCCAGCAATGCAGTACTGTATGTACCTAGAATGCAAAGAAGCGATACGGGCTAATTGAGATGCTGCAAATGGAAGGGGTCGCTGTCAGTTCTCCTATTTGTGCGAAAATGTCTCGGAAGAGTGTCCGTTGCAATACAGCTTGTTCATTGTATCCTTGCTTTCATCTCTGCTCGAAACGATGTGCGTGAAGACAAGAAGAGTCCTCGGAAGCGCTGACATTTCCGATGCTTTGCAAGCAAGTAATCTCTCCTGCCAGCCTGGACTTGGTGAAAACATGTCACGGAAGCGTGTCATGTATGATAGTTTCAAGAGGCTCATCAGTGATGAGGGAGCTTGAGCTTGATTCCTCTCGGACTCAGATCGGAGCTTCGAAGTGCATTCGAGCACGAATTAGGGCCACGCAGTAACGACGCTTGCCACGTTCTGCGAAATGC